ATTTCTGCTGTCTGGGGGCCCAGGATCTTCTATATGGGCCCAGTGAGAGCTGATGGGGCCTGGCCTGGACTGGGACGTTCCTCCCCAGCTGACAGTCCTGGCCCCAAAACAGGTCCCCAGCGTTTATTTGCTTTGGTTGTTTCCAGCACTGTGGGGAGTTTTCATACACTAAGTGGCAGTGGGGACAAGGTGACTGAAGCCTCGGGGGGAGAGCAGGTCCTTCCCCCCACCTCACTGTGCCCCACTTCATTCTTTCCAGATACCTGATGAAAATGCTGCTGCTGCTGCAGGTACCGCTGCTGTGGTGGCAGTGGTGCGGGGGGATACTGCGAGGGAGGGGGCGGGGGGTGATCCGACAGCTTCCGGTTCATCGAAGGCCGGATTTCTTCTCCCACAGTCCCACTCAGGGGTAGGCCTCCCTGGGACCTCCGGTCCAGGCTGTTGCCCCGCTGACCCTGGGAGAGAGCAGAGATGATGCGGATCCATCCTCCTCACGCATCTCCTGGTCCTACCCCACTCTTCTGGCAGCTGTTCCCAGACTTAGCTCATGACAGCTCCAAGAAACAGCTGGTGGGGTGAGGGCAGCTTAAGGAGAATCGATGGTTCAGACCATTACGTTTTCAAAGCGGCCGCTGCATTCTCAGATTCTCCCAGTTTGGGGAGTTTGGGTCTCCGGTTCACAGACTTTCCACGTGGTACTCAACTAGCCCCTTCCTAGTGGGCTTGTTTTTCTCTGTGTAATCAAGCTTAAATGTTCCATTTTACCGACACAGGGCCACCCCTCCTTATCGCATGTTGCCACACTGCTGGACATCCTACCCTCCAGATAAGCTCTGCTATTGACTTTGCATGATTTTGAACTGTCATTTATAGTCTGGTGATGGAGACCCAAACAGCAACGCTCTTGCAGCACCATGGAAACCAGGCCTGCTGCTGGGCACGCTGGGAAGAAACAAGATCTTTCTCCTGAATGCTACCACAACCTCGTGACTCAGAGACAATTCCTTGTTATTTTTATCTAACAAACAATTACACAGGGCACTCGGCTTAGTATATGCCAGGCACTGGTCTAAGCACTTTGCAAAATGAACTCATTAAATCCAGTTTAATGCATTTTTATATTTCCTCTTTCACCTGTGTGTGCACATCCTAATAAACGAATACCTGTGTCCATTTCCTAGTTAAAAGAATTTACAAGGTGGGGGTTTAAGTTTGCTTATCTTTCTGAATTTCTCTCTGCATTTGGGAACACTCTT